AATGGAAGCGTATGTAAATACAATAGTATGCATCATGACTAGTTTCACAGGTTGGTGTTCGAACTCAGTTGAAAGCCAGAATTTCAATTGGTCTACAACACAAGCATTCCTCATGTATTATACAAGACGGACGGACACATGGATGGGCAGCAATCTTTCTTTTATGCATATTTCGTTGAAAATGACGACCAAAGAACATCTTGTGAAATTTGTTTTTAAAAAAATTTTTTTTGGAGTCCTTACAAGTTTTCTTTTTTGAGGATATTGTGTATGGAGTCATTTTCTATGGGGTTGGTTTTGGTTTTGCCTAGCAGTTTTGGCAGATATTTTAGACATTTTCATGGGTTAATTTATTTTCCGTGATACTGAGGATGAATAATACATTTTACTTTCTACAATGTGTTGCTTGAGAAGCATTTATTGTAGCAGTAAATTTTCCTTTTAGTGAAGTTTTTCTTAGTTTCCGTATACGGTCAGAATATTTTGGCCGCGTTCGTATGTGGTGGTATGAAATGAAGGCAAATCGAAAGTCCTACAGATTTTTCGCTTCCTCTTATAATTTCCTTATTCAGCTTTGTGTGATAAATTTAGTAAACTGCTCGGGAGATTTAACGCCAATAAGACTGAGAATTCACACCAATTTACAGATGTCAGTGTTCAAGCCCAGGTAAAAAGTAATGATTTCAGATACAGATTTTCAAGGCAGATTATCCTCGTTTGGAAATTGGGTGCAACACAATCTTCCTAATTCCATTTTTGCCATATTTGGTCTCTTACAAGATTGTGCTAAGCAGAATTAATCATCTGCGACCTGCCGCGCGATTGAGATAAATACGTGGAATGGTGGATATACAGGTGGCGTAACGGTTATCGACGAGTAGAGTTCGAACGTTGTTGCCCTGACTTCGTACTTATGCCCTTAAGAAAGGTACGAATTCAAGCGAACTCTACTCAACTATGGGTTAAATAGTAAGGCAGAATAGCCTGGATTGGCAGGCAATCTAGGAGAAGGACATTTGTGAGTTCAAAACCGTGGAAATGCAAAACAAAACATGTCTACGAGATTAGATCTCGTAGTCAATTTTTTGCTAATAAGATCTCATCGTTCATAATGCAGTTTTAATTCTATTGTAGGCCAAGCGTGGTGAGTATCGCTACACCCCTGAAGACATGGTCAATAAGGGAAGGGTTCCTCCAACAGGAGTGAGACGGTCCTCTCTCTATATATATATTGTTGTAACCTAGGGAACGTTGCTGAATAGAATAATCACGAAGGTTAGTAATGAACGATAATACTTAGGACACAAATAATACATATAAGATTCGCCAGCGGCGCGTAGAAGTAATAGTCAACTGTTAGAAGTGAGTACAAGTGAATTCCACAATGAATCTCAGACCAATATACAGTATTTACTATTGTATTTATGCGAATTGGGATATACCCATTATTGTCCGTAGGTATGCTACAACACACACACACACACACACACATATATATATATTATATCTTTCGCCTCCAGTCTATGACTATTCGAGTGAATTCCATCCTCACTGTGCACTTCACATTTGTGGTTATACAAATATATAAATAAATGCATGAGAAAACTCCTTGGCATTTTCTATTGGGAACAAAAACCAATGTGCGGAAAAAGGTTGAAAGTTTTGTGGGACACTAGCAACTTCTCGCCACTGTCAAACTGAGAAAATGGCGTGGTTTGGACACATTACAAGTCACGACAGTCTGTGCAAGACCATCATGCAAGGCTCCGTTGAAGGTGGACGTAGGAGAGGACGCCCGCGCAAAAGCTGATTGGACACTATCAAAAAATGGAAAGGTATGACTGTACCAGAATTGCAGATGGTTGCCGTTAATAGTGTGGCTTCTGCCTTCGGATCCGCCCTATGATTACAAAAGTCAAGGGGTGATGATGATGATGATGATGATGATATATATGCGACTCTCCCGTCGAGTTCGACGTACGAGGGTCAAGCAGATCAGTTCCTAGGAAACCAACAGCCCGACAACAGCACATGAGATTTGATTATAGTGGTGAAGGTTTTGTGCAGGACCATCCACACATTTCCCATCCACACATTTCCCATCCACACATTTTGAAGGGTCGAATAGAGAGACCTGGTGTACTACGTCCACAAACGACCCTTCGCAGGTTTTGAATTCAGAGTTGTCCTTCTCCTAGACCAGCTGTCATCCAAGGCTATAGAACCCAGTCTGTCCTGCTATTTACCCATACCTGGGGGGCGAAGAAGAGGTTTTCCCAAGGGTATTAGCGCGTAAGTGAATGTAACTGAATTCGAAGTTGGCTCTCCGATTCCTCAATCCAAGCCGTTATCCATTACTCCACTCCCCCCTCTCTCTCTCTCTCTCTCTCTCTCTCTCTCTCTATATATATATATATATATATATATATATATATATATATATATATATATATATAGAGATAATATAGATAGAGCATGATTTAACTTTCTGAATATAGTTCTCGTGTTCGCAATTCCAACTAAAAAAAAGCCAAACAATAAAAAAGCAAATCTTATGTCAAATGTACAAACCGCAAGGTGCTTTTTACAAATGTTCACTTCAACAGGTGATATGAAAGCAAAAGTAAATAGAAAAAAAAAAAAACAAAAACAAACAAAAAACGTTTCCCCGTATCTCGGATGGGGTAATCTAATTTTTTTTTTCGAAATTGTAATCGTGGTAATCCCCAGGAGTTATAGAAAAGAATCGACGATATTTTGAGCAAAAACCTTGTTATTGTTGATATCAGTCACTCCTGCCCGTAACGACAAAGGTAAAGATCACGGAAAATAAATAAGGATAAAGATAGACACTTAGCAACGATTGTATTGCTGTCTTCTGTTTGAACATTGGTAGTATTACTGTTGAATAATGGCATTCTTTAGTTCTCAAGGTCTTCGTCCCCCGTATGAAACATAAGATTAAGGGAGACGCTACATTTTATGTGATACAATATTCATCGGCTTCGTATATTTAATCGCATCTGTGGTTGACTGGGGCAAGAAATGGCTGGTAAATTTTAAAGCCTCAAAAACAAAACTGCTCTTTTTTACCCACCACAGAGAACCCTCCCTGCCTCCCATTAGAATGTCTGATGCTCAACTCCACGAGAACGCGTCTCTGTACCTGCTTGGTCTCACACTGTCCGCTGACCTGAGATGGAACAAATACATTGAATCAGATATATATATGAATAATATAGGCAATTGTGAAATAGTACTTAGTTATGGTCAACGCGTTTGATTTTATCAAGGCAAGTGATAAGAGAAATGTGTAGTTACATGAAATTCAAAGATTTTTATAAGACATTTCTGCGAAAACATTCTTCCATAATGGCTTATAATAGCTGAAATTATTCAGACATTATAGAAATATTTGAACTTTCACTAGAAACCAGGAAAATGAAAAGAAAAATCATTAACAAATATTTTTAACCAAATTTGTGAAAATGAACAATTGCTGCTCATATCTCTAATTTTTAATGAGGAAGGAGAGCTTGGATAACATGATATTCACAAGGCATATTGAAGGCAAGATGGACAGTGAAAAGCAGTGTAACGAGATTATGTCAATAGTTGACAGAGCAGGGATTAGGAGATATAGCCAAACGATAAACATTACGAAGAGTTACAAAAGACAGGAAGATGTGGAGAGCCATGGTCGCCCACTGAAGGAACACGGCACAGAAGAAGAAGAAGAAGAAGAAGAAGAAGAAGAAGAAGAAGAAGAAGAAGAAGAAGAAGAAGAAGAAATTCCATCATTATTTTCTTGTGGCGTATAAATGACAATTCTCCAATGCTGGATATCATTTGTTTAGTTTATTTTTCCGGAAGAATTCAAGATAAACAAGAAGAATTAGGAACATTTTTGAGGAGAATACAATTGCAAAATTACTTAAACATTGCAGCAAAACTTTCGATGGTAAATGTAAAGTAGTAATAAAATCCCGCCCGTTGAGATCCAGACAATCCCGTCGAGGGTAGAGAGGACGGATTTGGTTAATGTGGACGAAGGAAAGACATTATGTGAAATCACCAATGGTGCTATTTCAATAGACCAGATCTGAAGATCTATAAAAAAAAGAAAAAAAAAGAAAGAAAAATAAAGAAAATACAACGACCCAAGAGAGTTGAAGAATCTGTCGACCATAATTTGGGTTGGGCCATATCTTCAAGAACTAGCGCACTGGGAAACATCACGAAATACTTAATATGATATTTGTTGAAATCTGTATTCGGGAAAAGGAGTAAGATTACTCTGATCACTGTATTACCTGGGTCAGCAAGCGTGCTGAGAAAGAGTACTGCAGATTTGAGGAGGAAGCTATAAAAACAAATACTCATTTCATTAATGAGTATAAATATAAAAAAATCATTCATTATTGAATCAAAAATACGTAAAAACGATCATTCCATTATTAATGAGTAAAAATAAAAACTATCACTAAATAATTAATGATTAAGTAAACATTATCACTTAATCATTAATGATTAAAAGTAAGTAAACATTATCACTTAATCATAAATGATTAAGTGAGTAAGTAAACATTATCACTTAATCATTAATGAGTAAGAAAAATTTAAGCAATAATATGAAAAATGAGTAAAAATTAACACTAAATCATTAACGTGTTTTATTTGTTTAAAAAGAAAAACTACAATCTCTGTAACTGACAAATGCATTTGGACGGATCAACTCATATAAACTCTTCCCCCTGCTCATCTTTGCGAATTACCTTTTATTTAGGTTTTTGACCACGCATGCAAATTAACGATAGTTTTAAGCGCATTAGAACTACGCATTACCTTTACCTAAATTGCAAATGGCTGCCCTGACTGGACAGGCGAGACATTGTAGGTTGGAATTCCTTGGTCCTATTTCACCACACACTCATTAATAAGTAAAAAATAAGTCAAAATGTCAGTACACCATTATGATTTAAAAACTAAGTAATAACAAATTACAACACCTGGTATTCTCAAGTGGTTACCCATTGAAGTGCTGATTAGGCTCGACGTTGCTTAACTTCAAAGATCGTACGGGAACTGGTATTTCAACGTGATTTGGCCGTAAGCCTTAATCATTTCATAAGGAAATGCAACAAATTATGTCTTCTTAAGTCCAAAAATAAACATGATTGGGTAGGAACGGCGATTCACTTAGAATTGTTCAAAGGACTAGGCTATGACCTGACAAACCAGAGGCATGTGCACAAATCTGTATCTCAGCGAGGGACTATTACTAGTACTATAAAATGCAATGGACGAAGAAACCACGGCTCTTCACAACTTCCTTTTTTAATATCTGTAAACAATGTACTGCTATGACCGTTCTTGAAAAAGATTGTGAAGTGGTTTCCCGTTGACTTCTTCACGATTTTGTAAGAATTGTCCTTCTAGTTTGGTTGCCAACCTAAGATTAGAGAGCTCAGTCTGCTCTTCTATTTAATCCATTCTGTGCTGTTAATCTTTTTGTCCTCGCACCTGATCCATTGAGGAAATAGTAAGCATGAAATTATATGGGAATTTCAAAGTTAAAAATGACGACTAAATACATATCCCGAAAGAATCATTGTATAAAGTTGGATGTTATAAATTAAAATTCAATTAAGAGTATTAGACCACGTTTGAAAATAGCCGAAATTATTTATTTTTTTTTTTTACTGATCTCCAAATATAAATAAAATCCTTGTTTTTTTGCTTCTGTAAATCATTTAGTTTTTGTTTTTATGGTACAGTTTTTAAAATCTTGCCGAAACGAATAGGGCAGAGAATTAGTGACAGACTTCACATGTTCTGAGCCCTGTTTGACGTCGAATTTATTTGGATCGATACAACCTCATTGGCGATTGGTTCGTTAAGTGACAGTGATATTTATTTGAATTATGGCAAGCCAAACTCATAACATTGGGAGATTTGCCTCCAGGTTTAGAAGTGTTTATGCGTCGGTTACAATTGTGATAAAAATGAACATAATTTAAAGCTTAGACAAAAACAGAAAAAAACCCCGAGATAAAATAGAAATTTCTCATAAATTCTATAAATACAAAAAAAAAAAAAAAAAAAAGGACAAAATATAATAATAGCCTTATGTAATATTTGATATCACAGGACTTACTAAGAAATTCAACTAAAACTTTTGTTCGGGATGAAAACACAGAAAAGTCTGAAGTTAAGTAGGTGAGCAAAAAAGAACACGGAAAGTGCGACACGGAAATCTGAAGGCGTAGTGGAATAGCGGAAAATGCCTTCAAAAAGCCGAGCAAAGTATTAAGAAACAAGAAAATATCGCTCGAAACAAAGAAAAAAGCACTGAACTATTGTTATGTAATATCAAAACTCATTTATGGCAGTGACAATCTCATCACAGATGAAGATTTGGTTTGGTTTGGTTTGTTTTACGGCACATCAACCTCAATGGGTCATTTAATGCCGACAACTTTTTTTTTTCCGGGTAATATTTTTGTTTTGTCAAAAATCTATTTCTATTAATATTTTTTTTCTCAAAAACGTACAGCTGGCAACATTATTTTTTCATAAACGTATTATCAGAGGCCTTGCTGTTGGACGTAGTTTATCGTCATACCCAAGACACGGATGCAGTTTATCGTCTTACCCAGGACGCACAGATGAAGAGATTTGAAACAACAGCAATGCGGTTCTACAGATGGATGGTGCGAAAGTCATGGACCGAACATGTGAGCAACGAGGAAGTTCTAAAGGCAATAGCAATAATAACTTTTTCCCTGGTGCCTCGACTACATGAATTCAAGCGTGCTACTAGATTGGCAAGTAGGTCTCACCATTTTACTTTTGAACCGCCACTTCAACTATAACAGGTTATTTTCTCACACTTCTCACCCGTGAAACTTCCTTTCGATTTCTTGCTTCCCCGATAACTACAATTTTCAAAGATTTAAATGTAACGTCAATCTCCATCTCCTGTCTTCTTGAATCCTGTTCTTTTATTGTCCTTTCCTCAATCATTTCCATTCTCAGTCTTCTCATTCTCTTTCACTCCTTGTAACCTACTTGCGTCTTAGTGGCATTATCGCCTTGCTTGGGGTGAATTGAAACGGACATTTATACTCAACACCAAGAAGAAACAGTTGAAATTTCTGGGGCACATAATGAGGACAGATTTTCACAGGACAGACTAAAGGTAAGAGGACCAGAGAAAGGCAACGCACAATCTACTTGGCGTGCTTGAACGAATGGATGGTGGAGCAGAGTTTGGAAGAGATGGAAAAAGACAAAAAGTTATTAAGAGCTTCAAAGAACAGAAAAGAGCATTGATCGCCAACGTCCTGAATGGACACGGCATATAACTACGGTTGAATTTTAGAGACGCAATAATGTGGAGAAACACTTACTTTATATTTCCACCGAGATAGCTTTTTTCAAAGAATTGCCACTTTGTGCGACAGACTCCTACGTGGATGCTTCCCTGAACACTACAATCTTAACCACTTCAAGTTAAGAATCAATCGTTATCTATTCTCCTTATCCACAGAGTCTTCACTTCCTACATCTACACTTACAATGATCATGCACATCATTTACTACCATTTCGACTGTAAGCTCTACATTGAGCGACTCTCTCGCCTCGTACAGGCCGAAATTTAGTTAATAAACTGCATTGGAAATGAGCTTTAAGTAATGTTTTGTAATTTTTAATCATTGTCTACTAACTATTTTTTAATGATTTCAACGCAAGTAATGCGATAATGCCACTAAGACGAAGGGAGGGGGCATCGGGAGGAGAGAAAAATGAGTAGAATGTATTGAGGGGGAGGGCAATAAAAGGAGGGAGACGAAGATGGCGATTGGCCTTGCATTTTTTTTAACTGTAGGTGGCAGGGAAGCAAGAAACCGTGATAGAGTTCCACAGGTGAGAAGTGTGAGAAAAGGAATTATTAGAATAGAACATACGATTGCATCTAGCAAGTTCAACAGTAAAACGGTGAGACCTAGTTGCCAGTTTTGTAGCACGCTTAAATTTATGCAGTCGATCCACCAAAGAGGAAAGCTTATCAAAACAGTTGCCATGAAAATATTTGTAGAAAAGGCAGAGGGAAGCCACGTCACGACGGTGAGAACGTGGCAGAAGTCGACATGTCAAGTTTATCGCTACTCTTTAACTAGTCTGCTTTGTTTTGACCTTTTTAGTCATTTATAAAATAAATATTTCGGATAATGGCGAATAAGATTAAGGATTAAATTCGGAATTTCGCAGATTTGAACTAAAAAGTTTTTAGTATATTTCGGTACTCACTTTGTATCCTGTACATTGAAATTTAAGAAAAAAGGGATTGTCAATGGTCAGGAATGTTATTGACAGACTGAACAGAGTAAGTGTATGACACACACACACACACACACACACACACACACACACACACACACACACACTTTGCTCAGTTTTGTTTCCTAACATTCACATCTGTTTAGTTTCCTATCCTAAAGTTAAATTTCCCAGGATAATTTTGTGGATAAAACAAATTGGTATAAAAATGACAATTGGCAAAAATCTTAGTTCTTGCCGACGCGTTTCGTCTTCCGATTTTATCAAGGTAGACAATGAAAGCGAAATGTTTTGTTGTCATAGTTACATTAAATGCAAAATTTTAAAAATATAGACGTTCCCGCGTAAGCCTCTTTCTGGATATTGGTAAATATATATATATATATATATATATATGTTAATTTCATTATATATTTTGTTAGTTTTGATTGTATTACAACTTCTATGAGTCAGATGAAATCAACTGTCGAGCTTGTTTTCAAGCAAGCGCCCCCTCCCCCCGCAAAAAAAAGCAAAGGAACAAGTATCAAACACGAGTGTATCCATATAGAAAAAAAATCACAATGCCTTATTTCATATCTGTAGTTTTTAAAAGAGAGTATCAATGGGGCACCTTAATGTCAAGTCTAAAACTTATTTTGGGACATTTTGCTGAAATCTGCTTGGAGTACCTTCCGTAATAGACATTGAGATGATGTTGAGGAAAGCAGCCAGTAACCTGTTTAACGAATTTGTGTTATTAAACGCAGATGAGGGTCAAAGATTAATGGTTAAGGGTCAAATGCTACTTAGAGAAAAATCAAAAAAAAAAAAAGAAACAGGAGGTTAGGAAGAGACATGATCAACTACTGGACTTGGCACATAAAATAAAAAGAAGCAAAATTAATTAATAGTAATTTATCTTTCTTTTTTCTTTTCTTTTAAACAAAAGACTATAAATAAATAAAAATATCATGCTCGTAAAGGGGACACCCCTTGAGACAATTCTTGCTCCAAAATTGCTTTAATTTCCTCTTAAAATCAAGTCCTAGATATGACGATAAATTACATCTGGGAACAAGGCCTCTGATCGGGAGATTGAAGGTTTTGAGCAGTGTGGAACCACTGTTGTTCCCATGTACATTCTGACCCGGGGTGGTAGCACCTGTTAGGGTCCAAGCTATGGGCAAATACAAAACAGTGAAATTAGAAAAATTCATTTTCATAGTAAAAATACAAGCAATGCATTTTTATATAAAAATTATCAATACATATTTATTGTAAAATGACTGACAATACGCAGATACTAACAAATTATAGTGACTTCATCCAAATTTATTTAAACAAATACTACCAAACAACCAATATGAAAAAACTGTTTCATGACATTAATCCATGTAATATTCAACAATTTCTTAAAGAAATCAAACTGTATTCCAAAATTTAACTACAACATAAAACACGCATACCACCTCCTCTAGTAATTATATCCATACAAGCATGTATATGCACAAAAGCTGAGTATAATCTACCATGTATTCAATGGTGAAAGCAGAATTTTTATTACTTCCAAGTTCCCAGGAAAATTAAATTTCAGCATTAAATGACCCACAAGGAGTTGATATGCCGTCAAACAGAGAAATGAATCAATTCTCCTTAGAATCAAGTTTCCTAAGTATTTTTTTCATACTAAGTCATTTAAGACTTTGTATTCTTATTCAATACTTAGAAGCGTTGGATGTCAGTTATTTGTGCTCTGTCGATTGTTTCATAGTCAAGAACCAGTTTAT